ATCTCCTCATGCTGAACCCACCTCTAGATATTCCCACACATTCCTCCTTTCCCCCAGGGTAGATCTAGCTATGGAATGCAGGAGGTATTTCCCCTCATTCAGTGGGCTTTTCCCAGTGCTAAACCAAAACAGGCATGTGGATTACCAGAGGGTAGGTACCTTAAGGTGAAAAACCTCTAAATATTCTTACAACATTGAAAGTTCCTTTATTCCTAACATCAAGCGTTGGCAAAACTGCAGTGCTCTCCCGAGGAAATGAAGTAAACTGATAAGATCATACTGATACCCATGAGTACAATAGGACACCCCACAGAGGAATTAATGGAACATCACTGATCTTCCCACTTACTGCTTTCAGCTGAAGCATGCCTAAGACATCATCAAGGAGCTACAGCACCCTCTCCAGACTGATGCTTCCGCAATGTTTCAGACTTCAACTCTCATTACCCCCAGACACTAGGGCCAAAAGTTAAGACTGCTGGGAGGTGTAGTGCAAAACATCTGGGGGGCACCAGATTGGGGAAGGATGATCTACCACCTACTTTCACAGACTTTGTTGCAGAACATCTGTGAGCTGGTGCAACTGCAGAGAACTTGCATCTTTTGATATCCTTGCTGGAGTTTCTAGGTGCATTAAAAACATGCTCTGTTCTTTCAGGCTGGATGCCATCAAGAAGGACACAGATTATCCCAGTGGTTCTCATTGCTCTTTCTCTTCTGCAACACATTCACTCCATAAATGATGCAAGTAGAGAAGAGTCTGGGCACCTTCCTTTCTTCCTTGCTCGCCAGCTGCTTGCTCGCCAACTTGCCTCCCCTGCTGCTCTTGATACTCATTTATCTATCCACTCTGAGCCAGAGAGCTGGCGAACAAGCAGGTGGCAACAGTGAATGAGGGGAAGGCAAGTTAAGCCCTACCACTAGGCAGAGAGAGGTAGCCAGCTCAAGCAGGAGACACTCCTGGTTTGTGTGTGCAGGCAGTGCTACCTTGGCCACTCTTGTTAGAGGGCAGAACTATGTGAGCGGCGTGGCCTGCCCTGCACCCCTTGAGTTAGTTTTCAGTTCTCAGGCAACGTGAAAGAGCTACTTGTCAGCTTTATTACACCAGTGTTGTAAAATTCAGCCGCCTGCTTCTGTACTTAAATGTGGGGTGGTAGGGAAGAAGATGGGCCTTCTTCTTTATCCCAGGCAGTTATAGGTCTTGGCCTAGCCAAGGGGCTTTCTGCCAGGACATGGACTGACTGTTCTGGCCCCAGACACCACTGAGTCTGAGCCAGAGGCTTAAACTTTGGTGTCCCCCGCCCTCATTTGTGTCTGTTTTGAGCTGCCAGGGTCAATATAGCATGTTCAAGACATGGTGACCATTCAGCCAAATGCCATTCATTTACTTCTTTTTGAGTGATTACATGCAAAAAAAAAAAAAAAACCAAACAAACAACAAAAAAACCTGTAGTAATTTCTCTGTGCGACTTCATTATTGATTTGAACAGCTCAGTGAGCAGCTTAAAAGGTGGTATGGCCAGGATGAATGTCTGAAAAAGCTAGTAGATTGGCAAAGCACTGGAAGGTTTGTCTGAGAAACTGGCCTGAAGATTCTCAAACAAATCTTGTTGCAAAGAAACTTAACCTTGATCATTTTCATTTTTCCACAGCACAATATACAAAATAAACAAAGCCCCACTTCAGGCCAGAGCGGAACAGCAGCTGGCTTTATCACAGTATGGAGCTGCTCTCCTCACCAGCCCGTGCACTTGTGTAAGGCCGCCTTCTTGGCTTTGCAAAGTGAGAAGAGTTTACATGAGCCAGCACGCATGTGAGCTGCCTCAACTCTTCTGAAACAGGAGTGTGGGCTCAGGAAATTGAACTGGGCCTATGAAACCTGATTATCTCTTGTATTAGTAATCCAAAGTGCAACCTTCCTCAAAGAGGTCAGGGAAATACCAGTTCATTTAAAATGCTTGATTTGCGGTTATCATAGAAGATTTGCCACATTTGCATGAGGTACTTCAGAGTAATAAGGTGCACCTCTTGTGACAGAAAGATACAAGTAACAGCTTTGTGGGGCTGAGCAGAAAAGACTGAACGAGAGGTTCTGTAAACAGCAGTGTTAAGGCACCAATGTTCTTTCTTCATTTCATTCTTAAGCAGTAGTTAGGGTTCGGTCACCATCCTCATCCACCCCCTCTTCTGTTATTGCATTCCTTTAACATTTGGTTGCCTACACAACAGGAATCAGTAGTTCAGCAAAACAGAAAAGCTTGTGTCATCCACTTTTAGATACAGGGTAAAGCAAAAAAGAAAGAAAGCTGCCTTGGTGTGCATGTGTAAGGGCTTGATAAAATAGGGAATGTAACTTTGGAATAAGATTTACAATCCAAACCTGTCAGCTAAACAGCTTATGCAGGATCTTAGCTTTAAATGCCCCAAATGGCTTACCACTACAGCTTTTGGAGCAAAATGTAGCTCAGTGTAGCCTTCCCCAACCTGATGCCTTCCAAATGTGCTAGATACAACTCTTAGCATCCACAGCTTTTGAAGGACAGAAGATTGGGAGAAGGCTCAGGAAAGTAGAAAAAATAACTTTTCTGCTAAATGAAGCAGTTTTTGGTACGAACTGGGAAAATTAACCTAGTATGTGTTAAAGTCAGAGGTCAGCTCCAGTCTTGAACAGGCAAGGCAAATACCTACCTTGAACAGTAGGCAAAATACCCTCTGGTGGTCCTCCTACTCTTTCACTAGGCAGCAGTGCTCCAAGCAGCATTGGACTTCTTGCTCTGGCCACCATTTTACGTTCCTCATACAATACTCTCCAAGCAGTATCACATTCTGGGTCATTGCAGGAAATGAAGCTCTCTGGCTCTGATCGGAGCCTCAGAAAAATAATGTGGGGCCCAGAGCAGAGCGGGGCACCGCGGGATCAGCCTTTGATGCTAGTGTGAGAACATCATCACAGAGCTAAAGGCACTGGCATAGCTTGCAAAGGCCCCAGATATCATACTTTCCAATGAAAGCGGCTACATTCAGTGATGTCTTATATCGTGAGCGGAGCCGGGGGTCAGACTAGATGGCCTGGGAGACTCCTTCTGACTTGCTCTGTTTCTATGTTTCTATGATATAGGTACATGGAAACATGAAGTGGCTGCTGGTAAACTGGTCATGGATTTGCCAGCCCAACATTTCACAATATACTGTAATAGCAATTGCTGTTCTTAGGCCATGTAGAAAGCAAAATCCTCTTTCCCCCAGGGCAGCTTTTCCCAATCTGGACACCCTCCAGGCATGGACTTCAATCCCCATCAACCACAGCCAATAGGGGACAATAGGGGTTGTATTTCAAAATATTTGGAGGATCACATTTCTCATTTGTATTAGAACTTTTCACCTCTTGCAAGGAACCCAAGGTGGCTTCCATGCCCCATCTTCATTTTATTCCCACAATAAACCTGTGAGGCAGACTAGTCTGAGAGTCAGTGACTGGTCCAGTATCATCCAGAGAACTTCTTGGTGAAATGAAGCCTAGAACTTTTACCTCCCACAGTTTACCTGTCCTGATCTATTTCACATGATAGGCTTCTTTTCATAATCAGCAGACCTACCACTCTCCAAACTCCTACCAAGAGAGATTCAAACATGTCACAAGCAAAGCCCCTAGTTACATGTTCAGGCCCTAACCTTCTGTCAATACACATATGCAGGCTCCCTATGACCTCACAAATGTAGCCTGCCATAGTGCTGTGAGCATAGCATTTGGATTCTCTTGCCATTGTAAAAATGTTCACACCTGGGCAGAAACTTACTGATGACTGTATTGTGGCAGAGGAATACAGCACAGATATTCTGATGTGTTGAGAACCTTAAAGTATGCCTCTGTTGGCTACTGTTCTCTCCTAAAATAATCTTTTTTTTTCCAGGTCTGCCATTTTTAGAAAGTGCATGAGATAATGTTTTGAGACCATAAAGACACCTGCATGAATAGTATTTTAGGGAGAAATGAATATATATATAAAACATACTTCTGCTTTTGATGCAGTAGAGTTCCTTGTTTCTTTAGTCCTTAAAATACCACAGATATTCAGGAGTGTAAAATAAAGTCAAAATCCAAAGTTTGCTTTGCATACTGCACTAATTTTCCCAGCAGATTTAAATAGTTGTAGTATGGGAGTAGAATTTATTTCCGTTCAAGGAGTGAATTCATTTTTGGAAAAGCTCTTGAGCCACATTCCAATGCTGTTTGGGCTAAGTAGGGTCCAAGATTGCAAAAAATCACAGCATAGTTTAGCTTAAAGTTTGCACTGCCAGTAATAAAACCTCAGGAGAGGTGTTTCAACCTTTTAGAATGGAGGGAAAAACACACAAAAGGGAGCAGAGTTCAGGGGAAGGAGGCATAGTTTCTGTGGACTCCTGGAGGACAAAGTTGGGGTAACTGGAGGGCTGAGCTGGGACCCCAGGGCTTAAGATCTGTGCCCCTGAGCTATGGGATAGCAAGATGACCCAAAGCAGACTTTGATATGACTGCTGTTGCAGCAACTCTTCACTTTTCCACCCAACCCTGTTTTGCCTTTGAGTTTTCAACTGGGCAGGGAGGAAATGGTATTCTGGCTTCTGAGCTCCACCCAAAGCCCCAACAAAAGAACCTAGGCATGAGTAAATCCTTAATTACAACAGATAGGTACAACCTAGGAATGTAGAAAAAGGCAGTTCCATGATGTGAGGTACTCGAATAAAGCATGATCAACGGGATTGGCTCTATCAGGCCGCAGTACTGGTTTTTGAGAAGGTGCTCAGGCTGAATTCTTTATCCGCTTCCCTTCTGAGTTTGCAAAAATAGGCAAATAGTGATTTTTGGACCCAATATCCTTGATACCTGTCCCTTGCCACCCTGCCTAACTAGATCTAGGATGAATAGACCACAAAGCTGGATCTAGCAAGAGTAGACCACACAAATGTACATATAGCAAATTCTTAAATATATGTTCCAATTATAGAAACGGAATAAAATAAATTCTTAAATAATTTATTTTTGCTCTTGAATTTGCTCATTATATACTTACACAGAGGGTTTGGGGGAAATGTAATAAACAGTAAATTATACCAAAATGTGCAAATTTAAAATTATATTTTTGAAATAACATAAATATTTTAACATTTCACATTTGAGCAACTTCACAAAATTATATAAAGAAAGTTCAACAACACAGAGACTGAAGGTTAAACATGGTTTCTGGTTAAGAAGAAGAGAGAAAGCTAATGAACAGTTATACACACATGCAAAGCGGAACAAGCATCGATTTGTGTGCATGTTCTTTTCCACAAGTCATACATAAAGCAGAAGGAAGAAACTCATGAGTGGGCAGGGAAAGAAATGAAGATCTAGACTGCAGAGTTCTTGATACCATTTCCTTGACATGTAATGCAGCACAAGCAGGGATGGGGCAGATAACTGCGGTGAGGATAACCTTGACTGAAAACTCATACTTGGCCCTATGGAAGTAGCTGAGGCTTGTGGAGGAGCTGCACTGAGTAGGCATTCCTTTCAATATCTGATATGATTCAACCACATGACATTCACAACAGTAGTCACAATACAGGGGAGGGCGTGAAAGGAAAAAGAGACAAGGCTGAACCCTGTTACTCCATTTTGCTCTTCACTCCATGCTCTTGGCCCTACTTTAGACGCTTTAGGTCTGAGAATGCAGTATGAACAGCAGGTGTGGCTTTATTTCCCACTGACATCTAGACTGGGACATTTCAGCTTCCTTCTGCGTCCAGCTTGCAAAAGCAGACAAGATGAATAAGCAGCTCGGAAAACCCCCAGTGTTTCAGACAGATTGACTGACTGACCACAGGACGTGTGCTGATTTACCATCCCTGCAAACAGATTTACAGGATATTGGCCCTATGTAGTAGAGCCACTGAAATGAATGAGACAACCACAAACCATTTTTAGTCACTTTTTTACCCCATTATGTGCCAACAATTATGTATTAACTTCTACATCTAAAGAAAATTCTCTCAGTCTGAGAAAACTTTCCCATTTTAGCTACTTGGAAGAAACATACCCAAGTTCCTTTCATATTTCTAAACTATGATGGGTTAACAGCTATTCCCTCATTCAAATGCATACTGAATGTTAAATGGGAGAACACTACTGATCAACCTTAGGTGGCCAGGTAGTATACAGAACAGGTTATAGCTGTTCTGTGTGTGCTGAAGCTCTGAAATAAGGAAAAACAAAATTAGACCAGCTATTTAAAAACACTGTTAAGCCAGCAAAAGTTTAAAAGATGCCTCCCACAACTTGCCAATAAACTTGTTTCATTCGTGGTTTTCCCCAGAGATCAGCATTTTCAGGGGTAACTAGTCCCAGGTCATGTGATGGATATCATGCACAAGCTCTTCATCTCAAACCTTTCATGTTTCCCTGCACACAGCACACTAGATATTCAGAAGATTTGCAAGAGAGGCACCAGCAAACTGGACATGCAAGAAGCCAGGTCTATGTTCATCTTGTTTGCCTATGGCACAGAACAAAGTCCACCAAGTTCTGGAGAAGAGCATGTAGTCAAGGATTCCACAGAAACTTCTCACAAAGGCAACCTGTCCTGAAAGCACACTGCACACGTGCACGCACACACACACACACTCATGTGTTTACATATATACAAAGATTCAGCTTATCATTTTCCCTGCAAAGTCACATGTCTTTTTCAGTGACATTGAATAAGACTGGCTCATGGCAGGACAATTGAGTGTTGTGAATGAAGCACCATTTTCTCTTTGGCAAAAACAGCTGTCCATTCTTTCTCGCTACCCATAGATCTGTTTGAACTGGTAGCACTCATTGCAGTAGCCATTGCACTTGTTATTGCCATAGTGGTCGCAGGCAGGGGCTCGGCAGAGCTGCTTGGGGAGCTCGTCCATTGCAGCATCCCTCCGAGATCCCCCAGACTGTCCCCGCTGGCTGACACGCACGCACTCCTGACAAAGGTCACTGCTCCTGGACGCTAAGTTGTTCCTACAAGAGGCCGTGGCACACGTCCGTTTCGGAGAGCTTGCGGTTGTCTGGTGTAACTCTCTGTGCGGTCCCGTTCTCTGAAAGCATTTAAAAACAAAACACAGGTTAAAAAACAGTTCTGGCAGTGGCCACAGTCTGGTTTTGGCTCTATCTGTGCTTTTTCATTCAGGGCATATGACTGACAGACTGTTTCGACAGGACAACACAGAAGAACATTTCAGACCTCAATGGATAATTCTTCCTCCAAAAAAAGCTACAGTTTATGACCACACTCTGCAAGTTCTCAGGAGAAAACCTTGCACAGGTTGTTCCCTTCCAGTTACAGGAAAAGGAAAAGGAAATACATTGTATTTGTAAATACAAATACATTGATGTTCTTGAACATTCTGATGGCTGTGAAATGAAAACTGCCCTGTTGGTTTGGCTGGGTTTTAAAAGACGTGTTCAGCATTAAAGCTAACCTAAACCACTGGTTTTCCAGTTTGGATAGTTTGATTCCCACCCATTCCTATGTCATACAGCTTATATATTTTATTACACTGTATTATGTCAGGTCACCCACCAGTAGTGAGCAATTTCACTGACTACTGTGATATGTAATATAAAGAAAACTGACTGTTCTGGAAATGCTCACAGAAATTATCCACAACAAGCTTTGGATATGGCACTGTTTGGACTAGGTAACAAAAGCAGAATCTTCGTTGTAGCTTTTCAGTCTGGGTGGGTGCTTGTCCTTCATACTGTATTACCATCCAGACAACAAACTAACAATTTTATGGATTCCTAAAAAAAGGCACACATAATAGTAGACTGGGATGAATGGGTTTCATATGTATACTGACTTCTGACTGACGCACTAGTTGATCATCAGTTCTTCTGGCTTCACGGAGCCTCCTGCTCTGTGCTTCAATGAAACATTTCTGGCAGTATCCTTCAAGCATTGTGTTTCCTATTGTGCCACACTCTTGACCAAGGCAGGACACCGTGTTCTGGTACATGGCAGCAGAGGTTCCGGAATGCTCCACACTCCGCTGAGACCTTCTCTGATGAACCAGTGATGTATCTATGATGGCAGAACAGGAAGAAGGTGGTCACTTCAAACTCAAAGCAGACACAGAACAAAGAATGGCTAAAGGGCCATGTTGTCTGTGTTCCAACTTCCCTATCCCTCAAGTACCAATATTACAGGGACAGCAGCATCCAGAGCGGAACCATTTTGACTTTTTAAGGACTGCTGTCCACACTCTTTCTAGCCCTGGAATGTGGCAACTTTCATCACACAGTTGTGAAATACAGAAAACGGAAGGAAACCCCAACCAGTAACCATGCCTTTGTTGTTTTCAAAACATTGAAGGGCCTTTTCTCTGTGGCAGAGTAGCCCATTTTTTCGTGCAGAAGGTCTCCAGGTAGGGCAGGGAATAACTCCTGTCTAAAACTTGGCAGAGCCAGTGCTGCCAGTCTGCATAGACCAGCCTCCTCACAGCTGGTGTCCTCTAGATGTTTTGGACTCCAGTGCCAATCAACCCCAGCCAGTATGGTCAGTGCTGAAAAATTCTGAGAACCGTAAGTCCAAAATCTCAGACAGACACAAGGTAGGAGTGCAGTTCAATGGTCTGAATCAGTAAAAAGTAGCTACTTACGTTCAAATAACAATCTAAATGCAAATCAGATCATTTTCCCAAGGTGGTCTAAACAAACTCTGCCAAGGCTGAGCACTGACTGAGCCAGCTTTCCTCAGTCTAGTTCTCTCCAGATGTCCTGGGATGCAACCAACATCCAACATTCCCAACCAGCATGACTAGGAATGAGGGATCTGCAGCCAAACACATCTGGAGGGCATCAGCTATGAGGAAAGTTGACTCAAATTATTACTTTGCTGCAGACTTACCCATGATATCTCTAACCTGTCCTCTGCTGGCTCAATCCCAGTTTAAAAAAATAAAGGATCACCTCCAGTACTACAAACAAGCACGTGTGGCTTGACCCTCTTCTGGATGCCTTAGCAACATCTGAAAGGGGCACTGGAAATTTTTTATGCTGTTGCAAATGACTAATGCAGCTTGAAGCCTTTCTGCTGTGGCTTTAGGTGTCACCTTGAGATACAGCATCCTAACAGATACTTCAGAGCTGTTTCATTCTATTTGCATCTGTTTTTTCCTTGCAAGTTCTGATGGAGCAGAGGGATCTTCTGCTTTTAGCTGGTCCAAGAAACATTGCAAAAATGAGATAGAAATTTATTTACCAACTCACCTTTGTTTTCCTGGTACTCAAAATAACACAGCGTGCAAAAGCCTTCATTTCGAAAAGTCCCAAAAAAGTTGCAGCCAGGCTTCCTGCATTTACTGTTTCCCTTCCGCTCCTCCTGCTCCTTCGTATCAATGCCAGTTGGTGCATGGCAGGAATGCTGCAGGAAGCTCTGTGAAAGATGGGTTGGGTCAGACGTGGATCTCTGATGGCCTGAAGGTGCGGTGGCTGAGCCAGTGCTTGCTAAGCAGTCTCTAGTCCTTTTAAAGCAAGCACTGCACATCCCATTGAAGGTCCTATTGGTGTTCTGAAAGCAGAATGTGCAGGTCACACCGTCCAAATCCTTTGGCTGATGGCAGGGATTCAGCTCTGGGGAGTTGTAGCAGCGTTCACAGAGCCCATTATATTGCATGTTTAGGGTGAAAGGGCAGCCAGGAGTCCTGCACTTCATGGCAGTGGTTTCACTATACAGAAAGAGGCTTGGGGCTGTAGGGGGCGCAGAGCGAGGCCCTGTCACTGTCTCTTCAGTAGTCCGTGCACCAGGCTTGCTTCGCTCCTCCTTTGGTGAACCAGAGCTTTTTGCTTGGGGTTTCTCACACCCTGCCTGGAAAGTCTTCCTCCTGGGCTTAGTGCCCCGTTGCCTCTCTTCAAAGCACTCATGGCAGTAAGGCTTGGTGCTCACAGACATGTAGAAAGGGCAGTTGGGCGTCTCACACTTGGCCTCCACAAGTGACAGCTGCGACAGGTGCAGCTCCAGCCGATCCCTTGCACCCCATTCTCTCCTGGCAGGTTCAGTGCTTTCTTGCCACTTTTTGTACTCGTGCTGCACCAGCTGAAAGTAGTCCTCCACTAGGTTGATCTCTTTGGGCAAGTTGCCTTCATCCAACCTTCAAGGCAAAGGAACAAGAAATCTGTACCATTAGATGGAGAAGAGACAGCAAACTTAAAATACCTGGGAGAAAACAGGGTATCATCATCATCATCATCATCATCATCTCTACATTACCCCATAGCTGAAGCTCTCTGGGTGGTTTACAACAGTGCATAAAAAAGCCAAAAAAATTGCAAATGCCATAAAAATTGCAAACAAAAATGCAAATACCATTAAAAAGATTTTAAAATAAAAATATGAAGTAGGTCTAGCTGCTCTTTGACATCAACATGGTTGCAGCATTAAAAGTTGCAAGGCTGAATTTATACAGAAAGATGTCAAATGTGGCATATTGGCAGGAGTGCAAAACTATAGGGCCATGGACCAAATCCAACCCTCTTGAGGCAGAAATATTGCCATCTGAGGTTTCACAGATTTCATCAGTCACCTTTCCCCCAAAAATTGATAATTTGCTTTAGCGCCTTTTGTTCACTTTTACCTCATTTTAAAAGGTCCAAAGGGCATTTACTAAGGCTTAATATACTGGCAGTAAGAGCTCTGAGTTACAGCAGGCTTGTTTTTTTTTTGTATTTTTGGTCACATCTATTTATCCTCTGGGCCAGTTCACCACTGGAATGTGGCCCCGAGAGCATCTCTTGAATTGAAATTGAATCTGGCCCTTAGGCTGGAAGAGAATCTGTACCTCTGACTTATGGAAATATAATAGAAATTGGTGTAATGAGGGAAGCAGGATACTATTCCTATGCTTGTGGGAAAAACAAACCATTCATATCAGTCTTTAACACAGGGATGGGGAACTTTCCAGTCATGGAAGTTCCTTGTCTGACCTACAGCTTCTTGAGCTTCCTTGGCTTCCTTTAGGGGCAGACTCTGGCCTCCAAGCAGAGGAACCTCCCTTGGAGGAATCCCACTGTTATCTGTTGAGATCAGAGATAATAGCAGCACTGTAGAGGGTGGTGTTGAAGCACAGTTGGGGAAGCAGGATTCCAATCACTGGCGTAGCCATTAAAACTAACCAGTGACCTTGGGCACGTCACTACAGAGAGCCTCTCTCACACATACGCACTGCTGAAAGAGGGGCGTGGGGAAAGGACCACACGTTAGCTCCTTCTCCTACCACGTGCTGCAGCCATTCCCTTGCTGCTGGAGGTGGTGGTGGCAACACTTGCCTGTCTGCATGCTCCTTTAGCCTAAGAAGGAGCTCTGATGTACATGCGTAGCACTCTCCCACACTGGGAGGTCCTGGTTCAATTGGGGGCCCCCTCTCCCAAGAAGGAGCTCTACATAAGGAGAGATCCATTTCCACATGGGCCAAACATGGTGTTGCTTTAATATGTGGCTGTAGCAGGCAGAATTCCTTACACAATTATTTCAGCGTGGGGGAGCTTTATGTGAATCTTCCTCCTGTCTGAGGGTTATTTCTTCAAAGGGTAAGCCAAAATAACTTCGATCCTTCCTGGCCTGACCTACTTGGAGAAATACTGCATTTTCTGGATATTCATTTACTGGTTTTGCTGAGGTGCTGAGGCAGGGTATTCGTTAGGTATGTATCTTCCAGAACTGGCCTGGATTTTTTTTTGTGTGGCTCTTTGCTACTGCTGCTGAACAATGTTTTAATGTTTTGTGAGCCGCCCAAGGCTTCAGCGAATGGGGTGGCATAGAAATTATTTAGAAATTTTCTAAACAAACAAACAAACAAACAAACATCTCTGAGTTCTCCAGGACAAAGAGCTACACTAAAACCAGAAACATCTTTTTTGAAAAAGGCATCTAGATGTAAGAGGCTAATTACTTCACACAGAAAGATTTATCACTGTGTTTTATAACACTGGATGAGAGAAGGCTCAGACTCACTTGGCAGCATTAATGAAATGGGTTGTACCAGGATCCCAGCCTTGCACAGGAATTTCTATCACCATCAGATAGTCCCTTAGCAGTTTTTCTTTCTCCCTTTCTTCAGTGTCTGTAAGAAAGTGCACCTTCAAGTCTTCAAACCTGCCTCTTTCACAGGTGACTAGTGGAATGGCCCGGATCTCTGTGGGGAGAAAGTTACTGCTGTGAATCAAATGGGACAGCTATGTGCACAACACCACAGAGAGCAACATTAACAGTATGAACTTGCAGTTGTAATCAAGAATGGCATGCAGGGCTAAATCCAAAGGGCAGTAATGAAACTGGGTTGCATTTATCAAGGGGCAAACATTACAAGTCACACAAAGTTGATATTTCATGTTCAACCACATGACCTCCCAATAGGTTTGTGACTGTTGGCATGGTGGGGAGAAGGAGCAAGAGAATAAAGTACAGAATAGATAGACAATGTCTGGGGACCTACTTGGGCCACTGTCTTGCAGCACAACCAGTGGTGTGAAATGCATACTGTCATAGGCGAGGACAATGGGGTATCGATAACACTCTTCTGCAGGCCAGTGGAGAGGTAGGTAAATTCCACCAACGTTCACAGGGGAAAAGCTTGAACCTGACTGCAGGCTTCTCAGTACTTTGTCTGAAGAAGAGAAAAGAAGAGAAGAGATTTATTAAACAAAACTTGGGTCACCAACAAATTAGGCAAGACACCTTCTGTTTTAAATTTATGAAATATAAACGACACTGTGAAAAAAATATTTAAGCTAGCAGAAATGGTATAAAAAGTGAAACAAAACCTAAACTGCTTTTGCAAACAAGGCAAGCAACTCTCTTTGTGTTTGAACAGTTTTGTTTCTTTAAAGTTGTGGATACAGTTAACCTTGAAGGCTCTTTCAATTTTAGGGGATTTCATAGAAATGTGGCAATTTAAGCCAAATGATCTGAAGAATTCTTTGCTCCCATGAGAAGCAGACACTCTCCAGTTTATCAGTACCCACTTGCATGTCCACTAATTTGAAACAACTTCTGGATTCTGGATTTTAGGAGCTGTGGTCGCTTCCTCAATATACAGGATAATCTACTGGTCATGGCCCAATTGTTAGTATTTTTGACCACGCTGGCACATGTTCAGGTGAGTCTGTGTGACGCCATTTCAAAGACGTGGGATATAAAACATACTAAAAGCCCCCTGCAAGCATTCCCCGTCACACTGGAGAAACGCTTACAGTGTAGAAACCTGCACAAGTCTCTTCCCATGATCTGAAACCCTGACTGTGCAGTGCCTCGGAACAGGTGGCACGCCCAGAGATGTTCAGTAGGTTTCCTCACTGCATGGGCATGGGCAGGGAGTGGGGCTACTCGGTCAGCTCTCCCCTTCTAGTAATTGTTATGTGAGGGCAACATTTCAAAATGGCACCGTGTCTTCTTAAAATGGGGCCTTAAAGTTTGTCATTACATCCATAACTTCTTACCTGCAACAACGATGATTGGTCGCCTCAGGATGTTAACGAGAACAAAGACGTGAATTTCTTCCAGTGAGTTATACTGAAGGCCCTGTTGGGCGACTGACATTTCTGCCGATGCCATTTTAATGAGGTTCTCCCATTCTTCCTCCCAGTTCTAAGGGAAAAAATAAAATTTAAAGCACATTGCTTACTATCATGCAAGGTTGGAGCCCTCCCATGCTAAAACATCCCCCACATATATCTCTATTACAGAGTAAGCGAATTCATATTATGAGTACACCAAATATACAGAACCTGCACTGATTTATAACTGGAGCCAACCTCTCAGGCTTCCTCATCACCCCTACCCATGACCCGCAAATTAGGCTTCACATATTAAGAAACCACCATTTTTTAAACCTGGGGTATCTGCTTACTGATAACTATTTTATGTCTTGTGCATGTTTAAATGGAAGCAAATCCCAGTTTGTTCAATGGAACTTATTCCCTGGTAAGTATGTTTAACCTTACAGCACAAGGCTAAGTACTGGAGCTGGGAAGGTGAGTTGAGAGGGGTCCACTACCAAAACCAGAGTATTAAACTTTCACAACAGCTGGGATTTTCTCATTCCCTTGCCTCCCATTAACTCAAATGGGAGAAAAGTTGAGGGATGCAATATGAGGACCTGCAGAGCTTTCTTCAGGTGTATCCAAGACCTCAGTGAGGGACATGTCGCCCTGCCAACACCAATTCTTTCTATTAGTGGAAGGATGCTTGATCCTTATCCTACCCAGCTCTGGGTGTGCATGTGTGTAAGGGTGTTAGGCTGGCTCTGCCTGTCCTTTAGGCATGCTGACAGCCTGGAAGTGAAAAAAGCACACAGCTCCCTTCTGTTCTCCTGCATGGTCTCCTAGAGATAATTCTAGCCCCCACAAGTGATTGAACAAGTTGTTACTTGCAAGGCTGCAATTTCAAACCGGAGCAGCTTTGCTGCTATCTGCCCTTACTTCTGCAGGCCTGCTGGGAGTGAAGGAATTTGGAGGCCAATTGGGCTGTTGCCTCAAGGCAGGTACATAGATTAGCACAACTCTGCCCTATTTGATACCCCTGCAGATGTTTTGGACTGCAGCTCCTAGCATACCTGACCACAGTCCATGGTGGGTGGAGCCGATGAAAGCTGAAGTCCAAAACATTTGGAGGACTCCAGACTGGGAAAAGGTGGGCTAGCAAGTGCAGGAGGGAAGATGCTCAGACAGCTGAGGACAATTTTTCCTTTTAACTAGCACATTCTTGCAAAGAGCAACAGAAATCAGGAAGGAAGTCACACTTGATGTGGATCTTTTAAGGGAAAGTCTGTGCCTCCCTGTATGGTTCCTTGTTGTTGGGGTTTTTTACTGTTATTTTGCCTGTGCTGTAACAGTTTCTGGAAGCGAGCTTTCCCATAAAAGGAACAGCACAGACATGCCAAAATTTTGGAGATGTGGGTGGTCCATGGAAATAACCCATCTCTGGAGAGGTTAACTTAATTAGGAAACTCCACTTTAGGAAAACACTTTGTTATCAGATTGAGTATTCTAGTGTGTTAATGAATTAAAATGTTTTAACTGGTTGACAGCCTAGCAATTTTATTTTTCCACCGTAGTGTCTCTCCCATCCTGGTAATTATGCATGGAAAATCACCATCAAACCAATAGTGCCAGGGTCTGAAACATTCTTGGCTTATATAAATCAACTGCCTTACCCTGGTGTCATAGCAGAGTCCTGTCTCCACAAATTCTTGAGATTTAAGTGTTTCCCGTTGCCAACGCAATTTAAAGTTGCGTGTGTCAACTTCCCTGAGTGCACTAAATAGCGTTTTTCGCAGGACAAGGTCAACATCTTGGACACCCCACATGTACTGGGATGTGGCATGCATGAGGCAATTTCCATCTCCTGAAATGAAATGAAACAAGTGTTTAAAGCTGCATCAAAATAAAATAAATGCCAAGCAACCCACCATGGAGATCATACCTATTCCCATTTAAATACTTCAAAATTAAATCTCCAATAAATCTCCATATAAATTGTCAACGCTCTGGGAGTTCCCAGCAGGAGCAATTAAACTTCTTGGGAATTTCCCAATAGCAGACAAATGGAGTGCAAGGTTATCTATTTTCATTCTCTCTTACCATCCTCCTGATCCTAGTCCTGCTGCCCCATTTCTCTTAGCTGAACACAGAAAAATCATGGGATGTTGCTAACCCATCATCTCCATACCAAATATGGTAGGCATCTTGTACATGTGTAAAAATAGTACTGAACACATTATCCCAAAGGGAAGCTCACACACACACACACACACACACACAAGAACAGATCCATTGTTCTGTCTTCTATGTACAGGTATCTTATTGGTAGTGTAGGAATCATATGCAGAATAGATCTGGGATCTGAATACTAGTATGCAGGCAAAACAGCAGTTACATTGCAGACTGCCTATCTTAATACAGAAGTGAATAATTATCAATTACATATCAAATGAATATTAATCTAAAAGGAAAGCCTGGAACAAATACAATATGATCTTTCCAGGCAAAGAAAACCCTGAATGACTTGGGTCCAGAGTACCTGAGAGAGCTTCTTATTCCTTATCAACCTGCCCAGACACTGAGATCATCAGAGGACACTGTCCTGGTAGTTCCACATGGAACAATACCTGACTGGAGTCTACCAGGAAAAGAGCCTGAAGTGTGGTCACCCCATTTCTGCTGAATTACCTGCCTCTGGCGACCAGGCAGACACCAACACTGTGCTGTTTTCAGCACCTTCTGAGACATCCCTATTCCAGGAAGTTTTTCTTGCCGACTAATCACGGTCTGAAGGTTGTCTTATTTTTAATGTATGGTTTTATTCTTTTATTGTTTTGGTTTTTTACCCTTCACAACTCCAGAATATGCCTAGATATGGAGTGGTATACAAATACTGTAAATAAGTGCAAAAAAACCAAAAACAAAAACCTTTGCCTGGAATGCTTGCAGGGAGATAAATGGTGGGAGGTATTGTAGTAAAGCAGAAACCTTGCTTCAAACTTTGCACACTGCTAAGGAAAAGCAGCCTTCTGCTGAAAAACTGGGGTCCCTTTTTCTTTCCTGGTAAAGTAGCTGACAGAAGAGAAAATGGTTTCTGCTGGACTTTGCACACTGCTTCTGTTGCCTTGGCAAGAAAGACAGAGGATCATGGCTTAAAAGTGCTGACAGATTTTAGCTCTGTTCAGTTCACTGCTACCCAACTAGCTGGAGGAGCAGAGGGAAACTTGTCCCATGAAAAGTGCAGCCTCCTTTTCCCCAAGCCCTTTAACTGCAACAGCACCAGGTCACAAAAGGTTAGCTGGGCATTTTGGTTCAGCGAAATGGGCACAGTAACCAAAGGCAAAGGTGGGCAACTTGTAGCCCTTCAGACATTTGTTCCTACAAACTGTCATATGCTCCAGCCAGTACAGCCAATTGTGAGGGATCATGGGAGCAGTAGTCCAAAATTTCTGGAAGGTCACAAGTTGCCTACCCTGTCCTACAATAACTCAAGGGATTTTCACAGGAGGAATGCGCTTGCTGAGTTGTGTTTGGCAATCCTATTTAAAACAAACAGTTTTAAATGCAATGTAAAAATAAAAATGCAAAAACCCTCATGAAATTTACAGCAGAGCTAATGTGCAGTCTTTGGGCTTAACACACAGAAAAAAGATGGCATACAAATAGGACAATTATTACATCCTGTAAAAAATTTCCCTTTGCAAAATCTAGACCAAAGATAAAGAGCTTTCTTTCTCTTGTGTGTGCTCGCTTTCAGTTCTTTATGAAGAACCACCAGTCCAAAATTCCCTAAGCAACACTTGGAATTCCCCAGTGTTAAGCTATTTGACTAGCAATTGAGTAACAGCTATTGTACTTCTTGTTCTGATGTGCAGACATTTGAACTGTGAAGTACACACTGGACTTTCCAAGAGGGTGTGGTTAGGGTAAGCTGGAATGCCTATTCATTAGAGAAGCGAAATTGCTAGTAAGTAGATGTTGGAATCTTTTTAAATGACATGGTTTCCTTCCAACTTTTTTTAAGAATGACAATTATGTTCCTCCCTATTATCCTCAAACATATGAATGGCCTGTACATTACCCTAATTTCCACAGTTGCATGTAAACTTTGTACAACTTTCTACTGAAATCACTGATGCATTTATTTCCTTGCTTTCAAAACGGATAAAACTGATGTTTTCCAAAAGTGTACATCTTACTATAAGGACAGCTATATTTGGAACTATTGGCTATGTAAACATTATTTGAATTTTAAAATGATCATTATGCCTTTAGCATGTCCTCTTGTGCACACAGAACTCTTCATATGAATGGAAAATCCACTGTCTGCAACACAACAGACTACCTCTAAGCCTACAAGGTCCACTGTTCCAGATGTGTCATAATGGCCATGCCAAACCTGGTGGCTGCTAGCCAGCATGTGAGAAGAAGGCACCACAACATGCCTATCCATTTGGAATTATGCAAGTCCTCCTTCACACATTCAATGCATAGCCAAAGCAGCCAATGGGGAAGAGGGAAGACTCAGTCAAATACCTATTGCATCCTCCCCAAACCTGGGGCCCTCCACATTTGCTGGATGACAACTGTCATCATCTCCAGTGTGCATGGATTTGTTGGCTGGGGAATTTGTAGTAGAACACTACTGGTAGGAACCAGTTGGGGAAGGTTGGGCCATGGAGTTCCTTCCTGAATTCACGAAGCTACATGTATGAAGATTTCCCCCTGGGCATAAAGGAATGAGCCATAAATATTTGGCTCATTCCCTATGCTATTTTTTTGCTTTCAAGTGAAATATGGTCTATGTTTTGAAACTAACTCAAAACCATTAAATCTAAGAAGAGTTTATTTCTGAAGGTACCAGTGAATAGATCTGGCAATGCAAGAATATAAAGGAAGACAGCTGCACAAGAATAGCTTTTGTACACTGGAGTAAGGCAGCCCAAAATGTCTATCTTTTTAGGACCAGGCTAACTGTTTCAGCCCTTGCCCTAGAGGCAACACCTTCTGAACTCCTTGGGCTATATTCTCCTCAGGACCCCTTGCTGACATCTGTCCTGTTAATTCATGAAGGGTCCACAATCCCATGAGAGACCATTTGGAACCTGATGGTGTACTGCACATATGTGCTTGCTCTCTCTTTGTCTTGCTGCAAGAGCATGCTCACTTACTTTTAGTCCTGGCTAAGATCTGGCCTGTATGGATTATATATAGGAACTGATATGAAAAGGATATTGCAGAATTTGGGAGATTTGCAAACAAGATGAATCAGTAATATGAAGGAACTTATATTCATTAGTAGCTATAGACATTACCAGAAGGGCCAAAATGAGGATGTGCAAGTGGTTTGCACATCCTCTTTCCACACTTCTGAAGTTATATATGAAGCAGTAACTAACAAACACCAGAGGTGCATTCTGACAGTGCTAACTGCTGCTTCAAGCATTATGTTGGTTTTATTATTGCATTGTAAATAAGGTACATGTTTTGCTATAAGCTGCAAGACACTGCAGCTCAGAACAATCTGGTCTTGGAGGGCCCCAGTAAAGATATTTCATGATCTAAAATTACTAGGAGAAAAACCCTACTTAGAAATCACCATCTCATATTCTTGACCAGATTATTCTGTGCCATACAAAGTTGTTTTTATTTAATATATTAATATCCTTCCTTTTTCCTACAAGGAACAGAGGGCAGCTTGCATAACTGCTCACCTACTCCTCTTTTCTATTTTCTCCTCATACAAGCTTCTGAAGTAGGTTAGGTTGAGCCACAGTCCCTGACCCAAAGTCACCCAGTGAGTTTCACAGGTGTGTGGGAACTGATGCCCATATCTCCTGAGTTGCACTATGGCACATTGGTTCTCAGATTTTGCAAGAAAGACACAATGACCCTATGCACTGCAGATTCATGACTCAAGGGACACATTTGTATGGCTTGTCTACATGAAACTACTTACAGTTTTGCCTTTTTATGTTGCAATCTATTCCCTGTTGTATACACTTCTGAGATCAGAGGAATGCAAACATTCATGTATATTTGCATCAAAAGACCAAATGTTAGTGTGGAATGGGCACCTATGCATTTATGAGGGTCCACCAATATGAAAGCCTCTCACATGGTAATCATTTCCATGCAGAATGATTTAAAGAAGACTTCAGATTGTGCCGGTAGTGCAGATGGGCCACTGGCTTTTAAGTTTTTTTGAAAATATCAGTTTTCTGAACGAAGGCCAACATTATTTTTAAGCCCTCCAAAATATATTAATTCCATGTTCATTAAGCTGAACTTCTCCTTTGGAAGAAGGGTAGAATAAATATGCAGCAAATACATTTGCCTGTTGTATGGGGAAAAGGTAATTCTGAGAGCAAATGAGTTTCAGCTCTCCGTTAAGTCAGAGCAGCCTGAGAAAATGCAAGGTAGTGCCACAAACAATAATGGAGGGAATGTACCCTTTACTATTTTGGATATTATGCTAGCAGTTCAGAAATCCTCTGAGGTTTTGTGTTACTTTTCAGAACACTGCTTTATGTGGGGGTAAGTGCACAAGTGCTGTATATGAGATGAAAACACCTAGGTAATGCCAACTTGTGGACACTTGAAGATATACAAGGGGCCTGATTATCTTTTAGCTAGGCTTCTAATGCTGTATCTAAAATAGTAAACACTGGAATTCTGATAGATCCACAACGTTCACATAATGTATGTCTAGATGCCCATTTGATATAAGGCACATACTTCACTTCGAAGTAAAGAAGAAAAGCCACTTCCTATTTTTTTTAAAGCAATTCTAAGTGAGCAGTATTAACACAAGGTTCATTAATGGAATAAATAACATAATTATATCCTGCAAAGACAGTGATAAAATAAACTTGACTTACCATTAGTCTTCAGTGGCATAAGTTTTTTAACTTCTCGACACCAGTTCAGCTTCCGTTGACGTTCTAGTGAAGTTTGGGTTGCCTGGTCAAAAAGAGCTTTTTGAAGAATCTCCTGAAACTGAGGGCAAAACTGACACATCCTGAACATCTCTATGGTGTACCTATGCATAGTTTTAAAATGATGGATCATCCCATTGGTGCACTTGACAAGGTCTTCAGGCATTCTCTCTCTGATCTTCACAGCTTTCAGCATATTGCTCAAGTATAAAGCTTGAGGAATGATTTGTGAGCCAGCCATTATTCTAGAAGGAACCTAAGAGGAGAAGCAGCACTAGTAAAACAAGGGTGTTTTTTTTTAAGTCACCTTTTCCCAACAATATAGCACAAAGCCCTAAGTTCTCTAGTCATGGTTTACTTTACAGCAAATAGTTTATCCTAAGTGCTTTCTCCAATACAGGTTCAGCAGCAGACAGAGGCAACTTCTTGGGTACGGATGTCTTCAAATTACCAGCCACATTTACTGATGGTTGCGTAGAATGTATGACAGACAAGTACCTGATGGTTGGAAAATAAATCTGCATCTAAGAAGCGTCCTTCAGATTAAGTCAGTTCTTGAGAGTACTCTGGGGTGTGCCCAACAGCACAGAAGTGGAGACCCAGGATTACTCAGCTGTAAGTCTATTCAGATGACAAAGAATTTCCTCCTAGCTTAGAATCCCCCATGCATTTTTCCATTCCATATTCCCCTTATGATCACACTGACTGGTGACCCTGGGGAATTTTTAATAGAGGGGGGCTTTGCAGGGAGCACATGGCATTGCTCAGTTTCTCATGTTTAACTACAGTGGACAGCATAAAAAACCACACACTGTGACTTGGGCAGCATGGATAATGTTTAAGGAAGTAGGAAGATAGGTGAAACAAGAATGTTCCAGTCCTACAGTCACATAAACCACACATCTTGTTTATGGAGAGAAGGCAGAGAGGGCTGGTATTTCACTGGTGTGCTGAGATGTCACACCTGCTCTGTACTGGAACACTCAAGACTGAACAAGGAATGCACCAGAAAGGATGTAGTTGCCTTGTTTTTCCCTCTATCCTCTTTATCTAGGTTCCAGAACCAAGCGATTTCCCCCTGATTATAATACTTCAAAGCTGTTGGAACATACCATATTTCAGTTTTTAAAACTTGTAAAATTAAAAATAATAAACACAAGCTATTTAGGAAAGGCACTTAAAAATAGCATCATCCAAACAAGATTTCCTGGATTATGGCAGAGAAGGTAGCTGAAAATGGGCATTGCTTGTTCTACAATAGAAAGATCATGAAATACTGACAAATACTAACCCCAAACCATAACAGGAAACAATTCCTGCTTAAATGAATGCAACCTATTTCCAAAAAAAAAAAAAAATGTGCATAAAGATGGGTTCTAATATAGTAGTAAGACATTATTTTCAACCGCAGGAATTAAAAACATGGTCTGCTCAAAATTAGGAACTTAACTGGCATTGGTTTCAATGAAGAAGTTAAGTATGCACTCAAAACATTTCTCTGTAAACACAAGGCCAAACAATTGCTTAACTTTGGTTAGATTGTGCTCGTCCAGTGTGTTGATTTAGAATATTTATCTTGTACATCCTCCATTAACTGAATGAACGTTGAATAAACACATGCATAAAAATACAGGAAAACTTCAAAAAATAAATAGCATAAATAAAAACTGCAATGTCCATGCCATTCATCTTTTCTTCCAGGAATAGAGGCATCCTCCTACACAATCCTATGCAAATTTAAACTGATTGAACTATAGGGGTGTACACATTACACTGGTATGTATTTGGAACTGTAAAGTTCCCACTTCAAATGAGAGGTCTCCCTCCCGCAAGTACTTAATACCAAAAGAGAATTTTGAGTCAGTGGGAAAGTTCATATGAACTAGGGATGATTACATCAGTAAAAGACGCCTGCTTTTGTCTACAAAGGGTTGTTTCCAGCATTAAGTAATAACAGACTATCCAATTTGTTAAGCTCCATTAGAAAGCTAATTAACATTCCTATTCTGCCAACAGCAGCCTATCACTAAGGTACAACTAGTATCATGCTCTGGAATGCACTGCCTGTCCTGAAAGTATCCAGTGATCAGCCTGATCCTGTTTATTCAGGACCCTGTTGATATCCATGGATGACAATGAGACTTTTCCAGAAAAGTATCTATTTATTACATCTCATCCTTAGGAGGTGTAGAGCTAGTGAATTTTGCCCTCTACAGAATTCTGCACAAAGCTCATTATCCATTTTAAAGCTACCACTTCTATTATTTTAAATGCCAGCTCACGCTTTGCAAAGACTATGCAAGTAAACTAAGTTTCCCATTTTCATGCTTTTTCTATCAACTTAGTAACAACTAGGAGCATATTGGCTTGGGTTATCAACTAATTAACCAAGCATTGTAGGCATACTTTAATTTGGTGTGATGAGGAGACATTAGCAGATGATAATGTTTGCATCCATGCTGTGAAAAACCCAATTCTGACCCTAGTGGGTTTTTTTTGTTTGTGAGGACAAAATTTTGGAATAATAATTATACTAATATGTATAATTATAATAATAGTTAGATTCCACACATATTTCCTGCCAAAAACGATAAAGAAAAGATTGCACTTGCACGTTGCTCCCATGCATATCTGCCCAGAAAAAGTTCAATGGGATTGATGCCGAAGGAAAGGGCTATACTTCCAGGACATGGTCAGAAGGCACATGATGAAACCAAGGAAGCCTGGATTTGGTCCTGCCACCTAGGAAGTTTGAGTTCCATAGAATAATGTGGCTCTGGGAACCTCTTATTATGTCCACTAGCAAAAATTCAGCATTCTGTTGATTTGCTCAACTACCAGGCAGTTCTATACATCATCATGGAAGAGGTGTATGACTGCATGTACTGAACTGTCTCAATTGCCCAGGACTGGCATTCTACTGATATGCAAGGCCTTGACACCACTGTTTAGCAATTACTTCCTCAAACTGATCACCACACATTATGCAGGATGAACTTCTGTTTTTCAACTCTCAACCAGTCACACTGTGTTAACTGAAATAGCATACCCACCAGGACCTAAATTTCTCCAATAGAAATGGGATTTACTTCCAGATAAATGTATTCAGGATTGTAGCCTAAAGATATGCAATAAAATGGCTCCCAAGCATTTTTTTTCCCCAGGAGAACTTGAAATGCCACTTTTTCCTCTAAGGGCTGCTTCCAATATGCCATTTCTCCATAACGTTGTACTGACCAGACATGAAAGCTGAACTGATGCCTTGTGAAGCAGTTAAGGCCCTTCTGGGAAGGGCTAAAGATCAGGGGTAGAACACATGCTTTGAATATAAAAGGTTCTGTGCTCTATGTCTGGCATCTCCAGGCAGGGTTAACAAAAGAGGGAGAAGAATAGAATAGATTAGGGGTGAGCAAACTGCAGCCCTGCTGACCCTTTTTTGGTGATCCCCGCTGAAATAGTTGCTTCTGGGTTTGCAGCAATGGCAAAAGATGGCCAGTCTGCTGCAAAAATTTGGCAGTGGTGGCAAAAAGGCTACTTTTACTTCCAAATAAAGTGCATGGGGAGCACATGCCTTGTTTTGGCACAAAACTATGATCCTGGAAGCCTCCTGGAAACCCAACTTGCGCATACTATGCATGCGCCTGGTTTTAAAGTGGTGGTCATTCTGGGGATGTGTGTGGCTCCCAAGTGGTTTGGGAAGGAGGAAATTGGGCCTGGGATCCATGGAAGCTGCCCACCCTAGTACTGACAATACTGAACTCCATGGACTCAATGATCTGACTTGGAAGAAGGTCAAATTCCACAGCTCATACCTCTCATACCTGTGTCTGAGTGTTGCAGTGATATGCTAACCAATTCTTTACAATCATTTTAAATGCATTTAAAATGCAATCCCATGGCCTGCCCACCCACCCACCCACTGTTTGGAAGCCCCTAAACATAGAGTGTCCTAAGATTACTATGTTCTGCCAGATGGAAACCAGCAGGGTGGGAAGAGGAAGAAAAGCAATCCTCACTTCCCTATCTTCCCATCTTCTCTATTTTCACCTGACAAGATTTTCAGCCCATCTAAGCAAGGACAGTTGGAAAGGAATGGAAGGAGGGAGGCTGAAGTTCCCTCCAGAACAGCCCCCTTTCTATCCTCCAAGGTCTATTTTCTCAGTGCAATACTTTCTTTGCCGGCTGTGAGGGTTCAGATCTGCAATTTCTAATTTAAAGGTCAGACTGCTGGCTTTTCTGAGCTATTTCTTGGTTCCTGGATTGCTCTGCTAAGGAAATATAACAGTTTCCACTTCCAAGCCCTGTCATACAAATGAAACAGCTTTACTTGTGTTGTTGCCTAAACCCACAGATGAGGACCCCTTCACTCCTAAAGCCCACCACTTAAAGCCAAGTCTATGATTAGGAAAAGATGTCCTCAGGAAACTTATTTTGAATGTCATTAACTGGTAGCAAAGTGTTAGTTGTTCAATGTGTTTTTGTTATATTTTTAGAGCCAGAGAGAAGAGATACTTGTGGAATTTTGGGGGGGGGCGGGGTTAGGCACCAAAATAACTTAAGGAGGTGGGGGACATTTGCTGCTTTGCTCAGGCAGGAAAATGATTTGGGCTTCTACCAGCTCACAAAACTGGTAGGAGGATGCAAGTTAAGTTTATAATTTGGTTTGCAAGTTCAACTCTCTTTAACACAGGTTTCATTCGTTAATATAACCCCTGTTAGAAGCTGTTAAAGAATATTAAATTGGAGTTCAATAGATTAGCTTTGCTTTACATACATAAACATCTGTTAGTGCCTCCCTATTAATATTTACTCAGAAGTGAGTCCCAGAGTTTAATGGGTTTTTGTCAGCCTCAGAGTCTGTGAAAGCCAGAAACCACTTAAGATGAATGGTTGATCTTTTCCCTCAAATACCCATTTTTTGAAGGAGCAATGAAGCATCCTTGCTGTTAAGATTGATTTTGATGTGTATGGTACCATACACAACATGCATACTGTGTGGTACCATGTAATGTCCAAGTGACATGCCTTTATCTTAAAAAGGGAGAAATTATACATACTTCATAAGTATCTGTATGAGCTGTCATGCTATTATGTAACTTTTTGCAACAAACAAGTATTACCTGTATATATTTAGTGCCTGTTGCAAGGGCTTAGTTTTCCAGCCCCATAATTAATTTTGCGTATGAGACCCAGGCACTAAAGTATATACAAGTATTTCCAAGTATATATAGATTACCCCATAAAAAAGGAAATACGTCATTATGTCTAAGGATTCGTTTTGAGGAAGACTTGTAACTTTCAGTCTCTTAAGTAAACTATACTTCTTGCATTTTGAAGTCCAAGCAACAAATTAGATAAGGCTTAAACTATGCATGCAGGTAACTGTCATTCTATGTTGCCTAAAATAAACTGCTTTTTCATTACACCCAATTAGGATTTCTGTGCAATTCAAAACCTTGCATACAAATAACATTGATACAAATAAAAGGGGGGATACACATTTTTCTCTTTCTTTTATGCTACTGCAAGTTTGATCCACTTCTCTTCTTGTCCCATTCTGTCTTTCGTATTGCACAGTGCATAAGACCAAGTCCATTCCATGCCTCTGTCCACCAACTGTCAAGCTAACCCAAGACTCCACTTCTATGCACATTTACCAGGGTGTAAGCTCCAAAGAAACCAGCATAACAACTCACACCCAGGAGCTGAACATTCTGAGTATGGGTTGTCACTGAACATTTGGTTGTTGTTGAAACTTGAGTTTTCACGTTGTCTGAACCCAGCCACACTAACAAGCCCACAAACAACCCATGAAGAGTATGTGTGGTCTGTTGTGAACTGCGGTAATAACCACAATTTGCTACCTCAGCTGGGTTCACGCAGCATGATTTCAGCAACCCACAGTGAACTTAGGGGTATGGGTTTGAACCAAGTCAACTGGGGTTACTTTTCCTTACATAGCCACTGGCCTAGTTAAGGGCCTGACAGAGCTGTTCTAACAGTTTAATGAAGCAAAATCCCAAAGCATCCTGAACCCTAGAAATGATAACTTTTGGAAAGCTACGATGGCGTTTTTCTGAAGAGAAGTGTTCCTACACAAACAGCAGCCGACTGTGGGAACAAGCGACCTCAAGAGGAACAGAAGCAACAGACGGACGCTTTTGCCTGTTTGCTTTTAATGGATGAATTTCATTGTCAATCAAGGCCTTCAGCTAGTAGGCACCGGCGGAGGGTTGCACGGCAGGGCAGGACGCATCTCTCCGCTCCCGAGCATCGCAGGCACCAGGCCTGAGGCGGGCGCCTCTCACCCCAAGCAACCCCCAGCGGCCAAGAGCAGTTCCCAAAGGACTTACTTGTTGTCCGTCGCTGGGAGGAGAGGCCCTGGAATCAACGGTTAATAATCCTTTCTCAGGCCAAACGAAGCAGGCTTCGGACCACGATGCAACTTGGGGGACCCATGAATTCCACCCCCTTTTCCAGACAAAAGCCGAGTGGGGCTGCAATCCGCGCACAGAAGAGGTGGAGAGCTGCGTGTGTGGCTTCTCGACGCTTTTGGCTGAGCTTTCCTTTCTTTGCTTCTGCTGCTGCCGCCGCTGCTGCCCCCCCACAACACGGTCCGTCCCTGCTGTGCTTCCTTCCTCCTTCCTGCTGGTGCTTGTTAGGAGAGCGGGAATGAAACACTGCCAGGGTATGTGTGTGGATGTACTTCCCCCCTCCCTTGTTTTGCTACTTGTACGTGGAACATTAAAAAAAAAAAAAAAAGCCCCAGCCTTGGGGATTTCCACATCCGCAGAGACACCCAGCAGGACGAGGGACTTTCCGACATGTGACACCGCTTGCTTCGGCGTGCTGCGGGCAGAGCCCTCCAGGGGGCGCTGTGTGAAAAGCGGCGCTGCGGTGATCGCGCCGCACGTGACCTGCTACCTGCAGTTACGTCAGCGCGCGCGAGTGACCTTAAGAGGTCTTTTTTTCCTCGACTTTTCTCAGCTTGGGTTTCTCCACATGACTCACCTTGGTCTTTTCCCCCTTTCTTTCTCTCTCTGTACCCCCCCCACCTCACCATTCCTTTTATTTGTGTTAGTATTGTAATTATTTGCAAGAAGGGTTCTTCCTTCCCCTCCTGCGGTGGTGCGTTTGAGTAAATAGCTAGTTTTGATGAAAAGGGCAGACAGAAACGTTCCGATCCTGGGCAGTTTTCCATTTTAAATCGTATCACGACCACGACTGCAGGAGCAAAAGGGTGTTTCCCAGTTCAAGTGCTGACTTGTTGCTACTGTTCCCGACTTCTGCTACTCTTCAATACATTAATTCCTGCACTTTAGCTCTGAGTCCCAGTCCTAGCTGCACTGCTGCTCTCACCCAAGATTCTGAACTGAACAACATTTGCAACTTTACATTTTTGTTATTATGTTATTTCATCATCATCATCATCATCATTTGAGGTATTGCAGCAAGGCAGGGGTGGGAAACTTGTCTTCCAGATGTTTTAGCATACAACTCCCATCAGCCCTAGCTAGCATGGCTGGTGTTGTAGGTACAAACATCTGGAAGGCTATAAGTTACCCCTGCAAATAGGATTATGGATATAATATATGCTTGTAAATTTTAAGAGTGGCCAGAAACAAGGATAGAATTGTCTGTTGTTGGTTTTTTGACGGTGCAGAAGACGACGCAAAAGATCACAGTGTCAGCTCAAGATTCCGTTATGTATATTGAAGGACTGAAAAGCAGTGTTTGGACATTTATTTAAAAATAACAAAAAACTGTAGTGTCTGCATGGGCCCTATTACATATCTAGCTCCAACTTGGGGGTTGTACAGGATCAAACACCCCAGCATGATGGTAAAAGAGACCATGGGATTGTTTAACTCTTGCATAGTCCACATTTGCTAGGTTCATATAACAGGATGATCTCTAAGTGGTGTTCCATATTCAAAATGGTATGAGAGCCACTGAAAGCCAGTGTGGTGTAGTGGTTAAGAGCATGGGACCGGGACGTAGGTGATCTGGGCTATAATCCCCACTTGGCCATGGAGCCAACTGGTGACTTTGGGCCGGTCACAGATGATCAGCCAAACCTGCTTCACATGGGTACAGTTGTGGGAATATGACTGAGAGCAGGAGGGGGAAATGATGTAAGCCACTTTGAGTTCAATGTGAGAAAGAAGTGGGATATACATTTAACAAATAAATAAAATGGTGACTGCATGTGCTGCAGCCTCACTATTAGTATATAAAAACCCACAATGTTCTGCTATGTTAGGTGAACAGCACTAGTGTGACATAAAGGCATCTGTAGTTACCTTTTAAAATTAGCATGGCTGTGAATACAGATAATGCCAGAGAAGCTGAGAGCAATGCTGCTTGGAGGGCAGATCGGCTCACTAGACTCGGCTTCTGGCAGGTCATCCGAGGAGGAATAGTCAAAGAAGAGACAGCAGACTAAGATGCACCCATCCTCCTTAGGAGTAATGGTCACATCAGTAGAACAAAATGGGTGTCTCTAATGATGATCGGGGTGAAGAAACTTCTGAAGGCAGAATCTGGACAGACTATGGAAGTGGGCAGAAGACAGCAGGATGGTGTTCAATGTGGATAAGTGCAAGGTCTTGCACTTGGGGCATAGGAATAGGTGTCATAAGTACAGGTTAAGTGACAAGTGGCTGGAGAGCAACACTTGTGAAAGGGACCTCGGGGTACTGGTTGACTGCAGGCTAAACATGAGTCAGCAGTGTGATGCGGTGGTCAAGAGGGCAAACACCACCCTTGGTTGCATAGCCAGAAGTGTGGCTTCTAGATCGAGAGAGGTATTACTACCACTCTACATTAGTCTGGTGCGCCCGCAACTGGAGTATTGTGCTCAGTTTTGGGCCCCTCATTACAGAAAGGATATAGCCAGGTTGGAGTCAATGCAGCGTAGGGCCACAAGGTTGGTGGCCAGTTTGCAGGGGATGGGGTATGAGGCGAGACTGAGGGAACTGGGTCTCTTCAGCCTGGAGAAGAGGAGACTCAGAGGGGATATGTTGGCAACATACAGGTATGTGAGGGGATGTCACATGGACATGGATAGAAACCTGTTCCCCCCTCTAGAGGAAGGCAGGACGCACTCCAACGGAGCAAAGCTCAGGGAACCCAGGTTCCATTTGGATGCCAGGAAGCACTTCCTGACAGTTAGGACCCCGAGGGTGTGGAATGGGCTTCCACGAGAGGTCATTGAGGCCCCATCGGTGCAGGTGTTCAAAGACAGGCTGGACATGCACATGGTGGGCATGTCATGAGCGGAGCTGGCTGCAGCCGGGGGTCAGACTAGATGACCCAGGAGGCCCTTCTGACTCGCTCTGTTTCTATGTTTCTGTGGTTCAGCAGTAGTTGAAGGTGACACTGCAAAGGATCTTTCACAGACAACAGCAGGGAAGCTCAAGCTAACTCTTGTTAGTACTGTGGAGAAGGCGGCAATGGTAAATCACCTCTGAATCTTCTTTCTTTGTAAACTCTGTGATGAAACAATCCAAAATAAACATAGGACAGTCAGTTATTAAAATAATAATACAGCAAGGCATTTCCTAGAGTTTGAAACCCAGTGCAGATGATCAACATGTCAGGATAAGAAGTGTCTGTGCACACGTGACAGAGCAGGATCACATCCCATTTCTAAACGTCATGGACTGAACAGGTTTTTCTTCTGTGCAGCACCCAAGCATGTTTAAGTTGTAGGTATGGAAGATCTTTCAAGATGATGGTCTGTTCCCAAAGCATATGTACTTATAGGTTGTACTATTACAGAATCCATGTGGAAGTGATCAAGCCAATAGGAGCAGGACTGCTGATTATGATCTTTCTTCACACATTTTATTTTATTTAAAGCTTTTATATACTGTCTCATTACTGGCATTTCGGGATAGTTTACAAGTACAAATAAAATAAGATAAAAATGGTACAGCATCCAGTGATAAATATAAAAACCACAATTAAGACCAATTAACAATTAAAATAATGGGAAAATAAAAAGGGTTGGGATTATCTCCAGGTTTTGATTGTCCAAATATGGTTATAGATGATCCTGAGGCATAATCACATGTGAGTTCAAGTGCAACAGGAGGGGTGAAGTGTCTGACTCATTCATTCTATAGAGTAATATGTGTCACAAATGCACAAAGAGAACAGTTGGGAACTTCTGCTGACTTCCAGATCTGCCTCCAGATGTAATTGTGCAGTAGAGCTATGATGAAAGACAGTGTATCTGCCATTCTGTACACAATTAAGTGGAAAAAGATGGCTTTTCAACACCTTAACATCTACTCAGCATTCCTTGAGTAGATATTTTGAATCAAAATTCAAAATATGCATATGTGACCAAATAATTTGCATTATTTAATGGTGGTGATGACATTACCATTTGATTCCATATATAAGATATATGCTGCATTAAGTGGAGTCCTTCCTGTCTCATATATTGACAGTAAAGTGAAAGCTCAGAAGAAGGGGGAAAATGCCAGTATGTGCTTTGTGGGAGACCAAGAATGGAGGACCTAAAGGAATTCGTGACTCTTGGGATATTGTGGATGGGAACTCAGTTCAGGAAGGTCCATTAAATAGATGTATCCACTCTTTGAACATTACCACATATGAATGCAACTAGGACCCAGCTAGACAATGTTCTCAGTGGGGTTTCTTTTTCAATTTTTCATTTAATTTTTAATCCCAAAGTGAGGAATGAAAATAGCTGAGCCATCACATCATTATTAAAAGCAAGGACAGTCAAGACCATTGATAAACCTTGCCAGGTGATGCTAGTATTAAGTACCCAGGAAATGCTTCAAATGAATGTCATTATAGATATTGCAAACCATGATTATACAGTATGCAAAATTGCATAACTGTGTTCTGAAACTGCAGTATATGAAAATTTATTTGGATATTGATAGGGAGGATATTTGGTTCTACTTGTTTTTGCAGTAGATCAATTAATAAGATGATTTATTTTATGTGATTTATTGTATTTATAGCCTGCCTTTTTTTCCTGAAAGGAACCACAATCCTTTCCCACATCCTCTCCATCGCCTCTCAGCAACAGTGTGCGGTAGCTGAGATGCACATTTCACGAAGAGTCACCCACTGAGCTTCATGGCTAAACACAGACTTGAACCCAGGTTTCCAGAGCCCCAGTTCAGCACTCTGGTACTACACCACATTGACTATCATAATGGCTTGATTGGGTAGATTTGTTAAATAAAGATAGCCCTAAAAGCAGTCTCAGTCCTCAAACTCTATCCAAAAGAATCAAGTAGGCATATGATTAGTCATTTACTCATAATAAGCAAATAGGAGACCTCCAGTTTCACTTCCTAAGGAAATAACTGTGATATGAGTGTTGCAGAATATTGGGCTCAGGCAAGGAAGGCATGGGTTCAAATTTCTGCTCAGGCATGACAGTTACTGGATTACCCTGCATCGGTTGCTATCTTTTAGCCTAACCTACACTGCAGAGATGCTATGAGGTTGAGCACAGTTATGTGTATGGCTCTGAGGTCTCTGAAGGAAAGGGAGGATAAAAATGTAATGGATATTAATAGTTTGTATCTTGTGCACTGCCATGAGGGGTTCCACCCATGAAGAATTTAAAGTACATCAGTACTAATCCTAATAAATAATGTATTTTTTGTATTTTTATATTTAATGGTAATTTATTATGTACTATTGTATTTCAATGTATTTTATCATGTTGTAAGCCGCCCCGAGGTTTCGGCAAGGGGCGGC